GACACCGTTAGTGATTCAGGATTTTTGCATACACCAATCACTGAATCTGCTTCTTATTAGTGCGCAGGAATGAAATGGATGGAGAAAAGATGAGTAAAAAATATGCTAAGAACTTATAAATTTTGTAACTGATGCGATACATATTCAAATCAAGTTACAGGTAGTGGATGTTTACACCTCCAAGTCAATTTTAACAATTAGTGATTGTAATTAAATATATAACAATTTATGTAAATCATAAATTATAAAAATATTGTACAGGATATGAACTGTATTGCAAAACATGATATGAACGGATATGAACTGTATTAAAAAAACATTTATATTAATTTGTAAAATATTTGTTTAGTTGAATAAATATTGTAATCGATGCTTTAATTAGGTTGCCTTTCTCCGTCAATCAATGTCCTTCTAGACACATTATGATCATGTTAACAAAAATATAATTTGTAAGTTTCAGTATGACGTAAAACGAAATCTAAGTGAGCATGTAATGAAAATCATGGTCTATGTACACTCTATAATTAACTTACAAGTATGGGGTGAAAAGTCCATGTGACAATATTCAAAACAGAGTAGATAGGGTCGACCGGGGTCAGTGTGATCGGATGGGGCGGGTGTGATCGGTAAATTTTTATTAGATAAATGCATATTTTTTATAAACTCTTTTATAAAATTTTATAAGCGTTTGTAGTATAATATCCATTTTTTAATTTATCAAAAATATGCATTTATCTAATAAAAATTTGTCGATCACACTCGCCCCACCCGATCACACTGACCCCGCTCGACCCTAGAGTTTTAATCGCTTATTATTATCCGATGATCGCTCGGATAAGGAAAAATGAAGGGGAGGATAAAGAATAATGAGATTGACATCATTTTTATTTGATTCATACATATTTGTATTTGTACCTCTATTTCATTCCAAGGAGAATCTATCTTCAAACTCAAAATTATTTACGCAGTCGTGACGAGTTTCCTAAATAACATGCAAAAATTGTTGATGTGCATAATTTATGCATCCACGCGTGGTGAGTTAAGCTACATATAATTTAAATTAGAATTATTGAAGATATCGTAATTAGCAATGACTATACCGCGCTCATCAAGGTTAGAAATTTATAAGAACAACCCATATCCTATGTTTTGCGCAACATTTAAACAGTACCTTAAATCTTCACTTAAATTTTGTGCAATAACCTAAATTCTAAATTGCAATGGTTCAAACTTAAATATTAAATACTTAATGTGAATAAATAAGGGTAATGAGGAAATCGAGCAATATTAAACTTGTATTTGTCATTTCACAAGTCAGCCCACAATGTCCGTCTCAATTCTATTGAATATACAGAAACTGCTAAATATTTGCATTTGCTTTAATATGCTTCCTCCAGATGAAAATATACATAATCTGTACACATAATTCGCTTATGCCCGTGTAAGTATTTATATCATTTATTCATATTAAACAAATATTGTTCGCTATGTTGGTAAATTAAATAATCATGCCATATCCTGTTGAAGCCGATTTGACTATCTATATATGAATTTGCTCATTATGTCTGATGGATGACTATTATCCAACTATTATCCAATCGGACATTGTATATGAATCGAAGGCTCAAATAGAAGTCTTTTCCAACTTCAACATAAATCTCAAAACTTTTACAAGACAGTTAAGTCAAAGAAATTGGAAGTCTTTGAAATAACCGCTTCCCTTACCCAAAAATGTATTCTACCGAGTTTCTTCCCTTGCTCGTTCGTCATTTAAAATTTTCTGGCAAGCTACGCTTCATGGCATTCGAATTTGACGTTGACTCTGGAAAACTAGCCTTGATAAAGTCACGTCGGCGGATACAGTTATCCCAATTACAGTCGATACGGGTGCTACCACTTTTGCTTCGGCGGGCTTACACGTTTGAAAAAGTTGCAAGGACTCCCATTCCTTATTTGTTACACAATTTTGATCCCAACCGTATTTAACTTAGATTTGGATATTGCCCCAGTGCAGCTAATCAATTCAATTCTAAATTTTGAAAAGAATTTGCTTAAAGGTAACTGACTCCGTGCTACTTTAACCAACATTTTATTGACAATCCTTATAATCATTTGTAGGTGTGGAATACATCAAGCCATCTTTTGAAGCCAAGTTGATGTCACTTTTTCTAGGACTGGCAGAACTATCTGTGCTCCTGATTCCTTTTGCTGTGTTCGTCCTCTTGACCGTGGACCCTTGCACACCACCCTTCCTTCTGTCCATGACAAATAGTTGCGGGGAAATCAGCTGGAAAAAATTTGGACCAGAAATTTTAGTTGTTCTGTTTGAAGCATGGATCTCTTTACAAATGTTCTCTGCAGGGACGCCATGGCTGTTGTACATCTTATTTGCAGGAATTGTGACAATTCTCGACTTCTTCCATATACTGAAAAGGTGCAACTCTCAGTTTTATTTTTTTCCCAAGATGGTTTAGTATTACTGAATAAGCAACCCCATTTTGATAGGCGGATTCAAAATTCGACAACAATTTCGGAACATCTGGGTTGCATCAAACTCTACAGAAGTATCCAAATCTTGGAAAAATATATGAATGGAGTCCTCATGGTGAGAATTGTTCCCGTCCTCGTCGCTAGTGTTCCATTGCTGCAAATCGTGTGCCAATACGTCTGTATTAAATTGCATGGTAACATAGCGATGCCAGGGTTTCTTATCTTTCCCCTGATGCTGGTCGACACTTTTGGAACAAGTGGGTTTGTCTTCACACTCGCTTCCTGGGTTAATAGTACTTCTACCAAAGTATTGGAAGCACATTCGACAAGCGCTATCCAATTTGAAGGAAAACGAAGGTTGATGATGAGACAGATCAAAGCCTGCAACGTTCTCAAGATCAAATTCGGCTCAAACTTTATTGATAATGGGACACCGTTAGTGATTCAGGATTTTTGCATGAAACAAACCATGAATCTGCTCCTCATCACGGTATAGGAAGGAAATCGCAAAGAAATAAATTAGGGTAAAGATCCCTTTGTGGTGCACAGTTTGCTTCTTAATTCATTCACATTTTATAACAAGTATACTTATTCGCATTGCCGTACCCATTGAGTAGCCTATTGGCGTTTTTAGACCAAATATTACTTACTCAATCTAATTATATTTTTGCCCATTTTTAATTTGTTGTGAAATACTTGTAGAATTAAAGAAATCCTGGCATATATGTGTCATTTAGATTACTTATTCTATTGAAGTTAAGCTTATGGTGTTTATGGTGTTACAGTATTGGAACCAGTTCTGGTAAGCTTAACTAACATTTGCAGCCTTTTCGTCTCGAATATTTCTTTTGTGTTGTATTTGAAGAAAGATAATAATTAAATACAATATATTTACCTGACTAGTTTTTAGCAATTGGTTTTTAATTATTTATGTATGTACGAAATGAAAATATGACACATATTTCATTTATAAGGCTTTTATTCTTGACAGCTTGTACATATTTGGTTATTCTTAAAAGATATATTACGTATTCTACAAAACGTAAATATGTTAAGTAATTCGCATTAAGATACTCCTAATTCAAGTTTAAAATTCGTTCATCATCTTATTTCTCGAACTAAATTTATCCTATATTAATATTTTGATCTGTTTTAGTTTTCCCACAGAACAATAAGCAATATTATGTAGTAGACCATTAATTATTTATCATATGGGAACTAATTTTCTCGTCAATTTCTTTACATCATGAAAGCATCACGAACATTGAAACGACTATGAAGATTTCCCGTTACTTGAATTCCACCTTGTTTGAAGAAAACATCACCCAAGAGGACATTGTGAAACAATTTTCCGAACAAAGGCTAACCTTTGCTTTGTTAATGAAAGTGGAGTCAAATCAGTTTGCTGTGGATGGCGCGCATTTACGGAAACTATACTATTGTCACCTAGCGAACAATGTGGTGGACAATTTGGGAATCTTTGACACAATCTAGATCGCAATGGTGCCAAGGATCAGACACGTGATGGAAAGATTGAGAGAGAACAACTTATTACTATTGTCTTTGCTCAATATGTGATCCTTTAAACTCGTACAACATCAGTTTCTTTGGCCAACTTTAGAATGCATTACATAGTAAGTACTTCACAGCCAAGGGGGAGATCGTAGTAAGTAGGATGTGAGCCTAATAGGGTAATAAAATAGTTCGCCTTGCTTTACACTTTTTGAACCACTATGTTTGTATTTATGTATGATATAAGGCAACATGTTCCTTCGCACAAAAATACTTAACGTGCATTCTCCTTAATATTCACCATTTCCTTATTTAAGGGACACGAGGCGACCTTTCTATTTTTAAACTGGGGAAGAATACTTGATTTCTTCTTCTTTTACCTACACAACAGCGGTGATTCTCCTACCAAGTGGTTTGAAAAACACAAACTTGTCAAAATAATTTACAAACTCACAAAATGGCGAGTAGTTCCATAAATTCCGGGCAAAATATAATCAAAGCACGTAAGATTACATTCATTGTAATACTTTGCAATTATTATGGAACAACAATGACCTACTTGTATACGTAAAAGGAGGTTAATTATTTCTAAATTTATTATCTCGTCATATAGGACTGCTGGATCGGCTAAAAACTATACGTGAAGAGAAATTAGCAAAATTGGGACACGCAATGGGGGAATTGACACTGTCACAGATTGCATACGATGAGGCTAAAGCTGTGTACGCCGCCGCCCAGATCACCTTAAGTGCTTGTGAGCAAGATTTAAAATTGTGTCACGACAACATCACGACGTCTCAGGTGGATGTGGAGAATATTAATGAAGAAATTGAGTTGGTATCTAGAGGAGCGGTGACATATCCAGGTTAGCGATTTAGTAACATTTACCTGAATTTAAGAAAAACGTGCAGTGGTTATCCTGCGACCATTGTAGTGGCAAATTTCCCAGTCAAATTAAAAAGTAAAATGCAGTTTTTCCTTTTACAGCAAGGAAAAAGCGAAAAGTGGTATCCGCCACCAATGCTAGCAGTAATCTTCCCAAAGATTCTGAGACAACTGGGGCGAGCTTTAGTAATAAGTTACATATATCTCATAGATATTGTTCCAATGTGTAACTGGTCTTTAATTAAGGTGTAAATCAATCAGTGATATCCGGAGTGAGTTAGTCCGGAGTGATGTCCGGAGTTAATCTTGGTGGGATACAGACCGTTTCCAATTCTGTTGAAGAAACGCAAGCTTGGTAAGTGGGGTAGAAAATAAAACCGGCGTTTCGACACCCCCAGACTTGGGGCTACTTGGGGCTACTGGATTAAATTCTGTGATGACAACGGTATTGGGAATTTTTGGGCATGGAAAAAATATGTGTGGGGCGGTCGGTTCGCCGGTTTTTATTTTCTACTTTGATTGTAAATTGGATGAGATTTTGGAACATTTATTTTTTTCAAAGAAAATGATATACCTTTCCTGTCCTTTCATCAATTCGCAGCGATGATTCTTTACGACTTAACTTGTCCTCCAATTCTGATCTACACATTGCGTGCATGACATTTGTGCACTAGATGGATTGCTATGTTTTGAAAATTACAATAGTTAATGCTTCGTGTACATTCCGTATTTCAAATATTTCCTTTCTAGCGTTATCCGAGTTTTATGATAATTTTAGGAATTTTAACAATTGAAAACTCATAGTAATTAACGATTTAATATTTTCAAAGGATCGAGAACATGTACGTGATATTTATTGGGAAGTGATGCTGGAATAAAACTCATTACATTTTTCAAAAAATAATTTTACGAATTATGCCAACCTTAATTTTATGCGAATGTTAACAAGTACACGTGAATACACTCATTGTCCAAGATATGCATGTGAGACTACTTCTTCTTAAAAGTTAAAATAATCCTAAACGTGCCGCGAATAACACCCTGTACAAATTTCAACACTGTTCTATGCGTAATCATAATATACCCCGAATACCCGATGCATATGGGTTTGCAGCTTTTCCTAAACTTCCCCATGTACCTTCTATCCTGTCCACTATCCCAATAAAGGTGTGCCTCGGTCTTCCACGCGATCAAAGCTTTACCCGATGCCTTCGGTAATCTTGCCCCTGCGTCTATAACGCATATCCAAAACCCAGCTGTACCCAAAAGCCCGACGAACAACATGGTTGTCATACCGTCCACAGAGTCTCCACCCACGATGAGTGTATACCCGACAGAAATCGCGAGTTGGCCAAACATTGAGTGTAGCAGGGGTATGAAAGGCCCCACAATTTCTGAAACGTCTTTCCCAATTAGTTGAAACGATCGGAAAACGAAAGACAAATTTCCCACATTTTTCCCAAGATCGTCACTACACCGAAATGGACGCTCCAATTTTTGGCGCCGACTTGGACCTAGCTCATCCCTAAAGATGGGTAATGTGAGAATCATGAAGGCCGAAAATACTTGAAATAATGCCTTCAAAAATGTCGTACAATGCAGTAAAGAGTACATAGCGGTCGGTACGTAGACTAAATATAGTACCTTGTACAAAACCGTATCTCTTGTAGCGTAGTTGTGCAAGTGCATATCGTGCTGGGGGAAGATGAGAATGTGTCCTAGGACGATAAGTGGGAAAGAGTTGAGCGCCACATCGGACAAGTTCGAAATTAGGAGCCATCTCCGGTTAAAATTGGCGGCAGCTTTCGACTTGCTGTCGGACCAATAGCTTCCTGTAAACAATTGTGTTTGTAAAGGATGCAAAATAATTTTTGCACAGTTTTTTTAATTTACCAGCGAATTTTTGCATAAACGAGAATAAGGAATTCCAAAAACGTGCTGTTTCCCGCGATTTGAACGTTAATATTGATACCGTCACTCCAGCAGCGCACGAGGAGAGGAACGCTGTCAGGAATAGTGTGCTATTCACCGCATCTTTGAGCAGTTTGTATTTTACGATGTGCACGAAATGTGACAAGGTGAAAATCCAGAGGTACAAATGGGCAAATATTGCATTGGTGTGTAAAGAAGGGGAGAAATGTAACCGTTTTTCATTCTCGTTCCAAATTAGTGGAAAACTGAATATATTCGCTGTTTTAATTGTTGATCCAAATTTTTTGTAGAACGATTCGGTAAACATTTTTACGCAAAGGTTGCAACATGAAGGGATTAGAACCTTCTGAATGGGAGGAGTGTAAGAGAATGTGCTAAATTTTTACACAATTGGGGCAACATTGAGTTATTTAGATACATAATTTTGTAGCATTAAATCTTGTATAAAGCATACCTGGCAATTTAGAACCTATTTATTTGTACAGGTTTTAAGTACATAATTATAGATACTTCACTTGTTTTGCTAATTTTCTCATCCATGTTTATTTTGCTTGACGATTACTGTTAATTATTACTGTTAATGTTAATTGTCAAATTGCTTAAAAGCCATTTATAGAGGAAGCCTTACAATTTATTTTTGGAGTAGCCAATGCTTTCATACCTACATATTTAAATGTCAAGGTTAATTTGATGGGAATAAAAAAAATACACAATCTCTCTATTTAAAAAATTATTGGGTTTGCAAAGAGAACTGAATTAGGGCATGCGCCATAAAATTTATGACTTTTAATTTGCTCCTGACACAATTGTGTAAGCAATCCAATCAAATATTTATGAACAGTGTTGCAAGTGGTATAAACCACTTTTTACCGGAGAGTGGGGAAAATATACTTCCCCCCCCCAACAAAATCAGTGGGAAATACGAAATAGTGGGAAACACGTTAGTTGTTATACACATATGTTAGGCGGCGGCAATTTTTCCCACTGTTTCCCAGCAGGAAAAAGAGTTTTATGTGGGAAATATGCAACACTGTTTATGAATTCTAATCAGGTCAGGTCGTCGTATTTATGTTTGCAAAAATAAGAAACGTATTGCCCATGGCACAATTACTCTCGAAATCTTGCAAGTGCGAACACTAATTTTCGAAACATTCTTAGTATTTCACAATTTCAAAAACTTCCTACAATGTATAGCAAAGAATTCTATAAACTATTTGGAAAAAGCGTGAAATCTGCAAACATTTTTAGTTTTCCACTCATTTATAACCCCAAGACAAAATTACTTCAATTTTCTCCTTCCTTACATGCCAACGCCGTCGTGGCGCACGTTTTCCTCTACATCTTTACGACTTCAAGCTTATGGCAATTTATAAAACATCTTATTAACCACGACTCGTCGCTAAAAATTACGTACTTGATCATATTTCTATCCGCGAGTTGTGGATCGATTACGATATTTAATATTACATATAGATCAAAAGAAGTTGGACATTTGTATAATTCGCTGTTCACTTATGCAAGAAATTTCAGCGGTAAGTATAAAATCTGTTCAAATAGCGATTTTTTAAGGCAATGGTCCATACATTTAAATGGGATCAAATTTTGCTATGATTTTCCTAAAAAGCCGTTTGAATACATTGACTGTAATAACTTGGCACTAAAAATGCGTACTAATTTTACATACTTAAATTTTTTGACAGCTATTTTAATCACAAACTTCTAGATACCTGGTGGTCTCACAGACGTGATTTAGCAGCCGCCAATTTTAACAAGACTTGCATTCCCCTCGCAAATGCTGCAAATCTTCTCATGGATCTTTGTTCCTTGATCTTTATAGCAAACGTCTTATACGTTCCGCAATATCCTGCCCATTTACCAAACTATTTTCCATCTGGGAACATTTTACGAATTGTTTTATTAAGTTTATACTCCTTGGTCAATCTACTCGATACTTCATTGCTTATCTTATTGCAAAACTTTGTTCCAATATTTAGCAGCTTGGATGATTTTTGTATTCACTGTGGTAACAAATGACCTAACACTATCGTCACGTGACACCACAGGTGCTAAGCATAGTGCTGAACAAGTTTGTCATGCCTATCGGTGTTTACAGCTGATCATGCAAGAGACGGCGGTAGTTCTGGGTACATCGCTCCCCTTGCTTCACGCGATATGGGGCCAGCTCGCTGTGTCTACGGGACAAGGGATAATTATAGGGTGGCAAAAAATGGATGGCGCCACCATCACGGTGTTCCTTGGGGTTCAGGTCGCGGTCTTGTATTGGGTGGGATTCCTCGCGATAGCGGCAACTTTGCCTAAAGCGTCAGAAAAGTGTTTGCTGTCATGGAAGACAGAATCGCACCGGTACTGGGGGAATGGAAAGGATAAGAAGTACATGATGAAATTTAGGAAAACTTGTAAACCACTGGTGGCAGAATGCCAAGGACATTTAAAAATTAGGCACGAAACTGTACTCAGGTTTGTGCAGGGTGTGACACGAGGCGTGTTTAGAATCTTGTTAGCGGTCAGGGATTCTTGCAATGTTAGGCAGTGAAGTGTTCATATTCGATCTTGATGAGACTAATTTTAATTTGTTAACCCCAAAATATAAGCCGACCCGTATTTTTACGTTTTCGATAATGCTAGAATTTGAGCTCGTGGCGGGAATTGCAAACTATTTTTCAGCCAAAATCCGGGATCTTAGAATCTTCTGAACTTTTCAATTTTAGCGCGAATTAAAAGTATGTTCAGAATTAATTCTTTAAACTTTGTAATTTTGGAACGAATTAGAAATTCCAAAAACATATACGTTCAGAATTACTTACTAGCTTTCAAAATTTCGAAAATTCGACCTTTTGTGTAGATTTTGATTTTCTAAAAATTAGAAAATTTCGAAACCTAACCAAACCTGTTTTAATTTATTATGCATATATATTTAGAATTCTCTCACAATTTACAAAGTAAACTTTGCATCAGCTTACTTGGCTTGTCGCGAATTGTGTAAATGTAAACGAGTGGTGTCAAAGCAGTGTTCCGGGTGTGAATTACCGGGTGGTAATTACCGGCGGTAATTAACGGTAATTACCGTTAATTACCAGCAGACCTTACTGTGAATAACTGTGAAGAACTGTGAAAATCAAATTGGGGCATTCTGCGACACCTTGTCCCACGTTATTTGTAAAATTTAAAAATTTAAATGCATTGTCTCATTTGTCCCTTATTCAAATGCTTTTAATTACGAGACCACTTTTATTGCTGTACTTTGCACTTTTTAAATACTTTTTAAATGAAGAATCTAATGCACTTATTTAGCTCGTTTTGCAATCTAATGTACTTAGCTCTTTTTAGAATTAGTGCGACGACATGGATGAATGGATGCATTCTAACTTAATTTAATTGACAAAAATTGACGAATATGCGTTAAAACTTTTATAGTGCCATGCATGAAATTATGCACATTTATCATTTAATTGTGAATAGATTTAGATCCAACGAGATCGAATCATTCTCCTAGCATACTTCTTAGCCATGTCAATCCTATACTGTGATGAGAAGTAGATTCATGGTTTGATGCATGCAGAAATTCTGAATTACCAACGGTGTCCCATTGTCGATGAAGTTCGAGCCGAATTTGATCTTCAGAACGCTACAGGCTTTTATCTTTCTTACCAGCAGGCTTCGTTTCCCTTCAAAATATACGATCTTTCTTGAATGATTTTCCAATACTTTAGTCGAAGTACTATTAACCCAGGAAGCGAGTGTGAATACGAATCCATTTGTTACAATTGATTCGAATAGCATTAGGGGAAAGATAAGAAACCCTGGCATCGCTATATGCCCATGCATTTTGGTGCAGACGTATTGGCACACGATTTGCAGCAATGGAATACAAGCAACGATCATGGGAACAATCCGCACGATAAGGATGCCATTCATGTATTTTTCCAATATTTGGATACTTCTGTAGAGTTT